CGGCCCGCGCCCCGCGCCCCCGCGCCCGCGCCCGCACCAGCCCCCGCACGACGGTCACTATTCGTGTGCATATGACTTCCCCCGCCACCCTTCCATCAACTGTTAATCTAGAAAAGCTAGATATCTTTGTGCCTGTGTTGTGATCTCGAAGGTAATCTTTATATATAGTTGTTTGTAAATAAATCAGGTCGGTTCACAGCGGAGCTGTCCCGCCCCGGTATAGATTATATGGCCGACAATGTTGCTTGCTATGTAATGTTGTTACCAGCCAACAAAAATAGCAATCGCTCAAGTGACTATCGACGCGGACGTAACGCGTAACCTTGCCGTATTTCGAATAATACTTTTATATATTAGTAATGAACATTGGAACTCCAACCAGCGCCTCGGCACTCGACGTTTGCATGTAACACGATGTAGACGGGGCGCCCGGAGTCGATCTTGTTGTCAATGAGTACAAATACCGAGGTGTAATCCAGCACTGCCTTATAGTGTGTGTTCAGGCAGACAGTGTAACGAATAATAATAAATTGTTGTAACTATTCGCTTCTAAAATTATCTAGAGTAATGTTTGAAAATGTAGAAACATATTTATAAATGTTGAATTTGTTGCGTACAGCTTTAGGGAACGTAACACGACTGAAGTCACATCAGTCATACATTGACACGTCGGTGACGGGACCAATCGGCCGAGCTCTCCTGTTTACATTACAACAAATGTTGCGCTCGCCCGCCGTCTCATTAGTAGTCAGTAGTCAGTAGTCAGCGCCATAGACTTGCATTAGGACAGAAGTCAAACTTTACTCTTTAAGGCATCGTGGACGATGTTTCATTTAATCTCAAGGCCTTATTATAAAATACAATTATGGATGTCCTAACAATAAATAGTTTCGACGGCTATATTATAATCCATCCGAAGAAGTCCATGACATCGCCACCTATCGACTCCAGGTAATCAATCAATTGAGAGACCCAGTCAAAGAAAACGAAAACATTGTTGGGGAGTATATTGACAGACTACTGATTTATTGCTGCTTTATGTGCAAGCTGTCCCTGACTTCCATGTGGCGCTTTTTAAATAAAATCAATATAAGCAATACACCAAACCAGCTGTACTCAAACTGCGGCGCGCCGGGCCTTTTTGTTTAGCCCACTTGAAAATGCTGTCCTATTTCAAATTACGTGCCTATAAGGGAACGAGTGATTCGGGGGTCGGAACTAAAAGACAAAAATCTAGCTAGTAATTTGTTATGGTCTTATTTATAAAGTAAATACATCGTATTCGTTACGTTTGGCTCGACTTTTATGACCTATAAATTTCCCACTCGCGGCCCGCGATCCCATGACTTAAACGTTTTTTGGGGCTAGTAAAAAAAAGGTTGAATATGGCTATATCAAAGTAATGAATGCTAAATGTTGAACTTGCCAGTTACAGGCAAATGTGACGCGAGCGGAGCACGTCCATTGGTTGTTTGCTTAGTGTTTAGTATATTTGAAACAAGTGCCGTATCAATGTACGTCGGCGACGTATAGTTTCGTGTCACGTTCCCCGCCGGTACGAGCGCTAGTGCGGCGCCGGCCCGCGCGTCGCTCGCACGCTGCTATTGCGGGCGCTCGCTTGTCCGCGCCTCGTTGTACCAGACTAAAGATCTGATACTGAACAATGAACATTAAACTTTGATATTCTATTTCACAGTATTACCTTATTAGTCAAGTTGTATGCTGATATATGTATGTATGTTTAAAATATTATTGTTATCGACTATACATTAAAGTTGGATTTATATATTATTCATATAAGAATTAAGAGCGTGGCCAAATTTTCTCTAGTGTTTCAGTGTGATGCACACGAACTCATAGAGTTATCAATATCGTTGTCGATACCAGGCGCGAATATTATTTGTGTGTTGTAATGGTTTATACATGTATATCTGTCGCTAACTTTACACTTTGTAATAAACGTTAATGAAAGGAGAAGTAAGAATGTAATGGCGCGCGCTGCGCCGGCCGTGACGTCACAACGAAGCCTCGACTTGTCTACTTATACATACTTATAGAGATATCTTGTTACTGTACTGGTGGGAACCTGCCGCACTTACTCTACTGAGGTGCTCACTCGTGCTTGTACTTTCACAGCTTAAATAAGTCACCGGAAAATAACAAGAACCACCAATTTATTTTCACAGGCATATATCAGTTGTTTCAACTGCCTGCCTGAAATAAATAAATATATAAACTTTTGGTACGATTCTAAGCAAGTACATATTAATTATTTCACGCCCACTTATTAGGTACACGCAAATTGACACAAACTTGCCGACTTCTGATAGCCTGAATAAGTCGTGTGTTTATTCCTCGACGGTTTAAGATGTTCAAACTACTTGGAGTACCCCGATTTGGATGGGTTACCTTAAGGTTAGAACTGTAACCCTTAACGCCACATCAAATTTCTGAGCGTTTCGGGTAGCTTCTGAGTGACTCAAGCATTTCCACGGTCAACATCGATAATCAGAAAACAGGCATCCAAACACTCGCCAACTTGCAATGCCGATGCTCACTGCGAAAAGGCCAAAGCGAAAGAAAGTGTTTTGAAATGGCAAAAGGGACGCTGGTTCCTTCGCCTATTCCCCATAACAACTCAACTCATCAGCTTATACTTTTGAGAATGATCGGCGATTAAAAAAGGCCGTATTTGGAAAAAACTAAAAAATAAAAGCTCTTGTTGTTGCTCGAATCTATTTAGAATCTTACGAACGGACCACCGCTAAATAGCACGAGACGTCGTAAATTGATACATTTGCAAACATATGCGTGGGAAATAATACAAATCTCCCTTATAGAATCCTACGAAAGTTTGTAGATCATGTTGTCTTTCGGTGATAAATACATTTCTTATTGTTCCACTACATGACATTTAATATTCATGTACAAACACACGCACCTTCAGTCGACTAAGTACTGCGCCCATCCACATTCCAGATGTTCTTGTTTTTTATGTACAACTTTATTGAAAAAATAAATGATTATTTTGAAATATAATTTTATTTGTACCTTTTATCGAAGTTATACATTAAATCGAATGTTTCACATTATAAGTATAGTCGGTTACATATAAGTAAGTATATTTATTATTAATCAGACTCTGGTTGGCAAGTTCGCTCGAGTGGCGCGTAGCGACACTAGCGACACATACACCTTCGTTTGCCTACATGTTGACTCGTTCACTGCGCTATCCTAATGTACTAAAAGTCGTCGAATTTTCTAAAAGTGGACTACAAATACTACAATGGAGTCTGCTGCTGCGTATTTTCTAATTCAAGTTTTTGGAACAACTGATCGTCTAATGTAAATAGTTGTAAGTATGTTGTGGTATGGAAGCACCGTGGAAGGTAGCGTGACCTCTATAAATACTATATTCACAGTTATGTTAAGTGTTTGTCATATAAAACTAACGATTTTCATATTTAGACGTATTTACTATATGTGACGATAGCAGTACGTCGCTAAATCGTAACAAGATTGCATCCGTTTCAGTGTCGAGCTGTGACTCGAGTGACTCTAGTGATTCTACTCATTACTACTGCAGTGACGGAACACGCTCATGTCACTGTCGCCATTACATTTATATCGTTTTATTAATTCTTAACTTAAGCGCACTAAATTAATGGTTCTAGTTTTGTTTGTGCGTCGTTTCTCAGTGAACTATTTAAAAATATTAAATACATACTTAAATCTAATCGCTATTTACACTCTGCGACCGGACGAAAATGAAAGAACGTCGACGCGAGCCGGAGCAGCCGAGGGCCAGTTAGGCGAGAGCCGGCGGCGGCGGGGGCGCGGCCTGCGGCGGCGGGGGCGCGGGCTGCGGGGGCGCGG